CAAATTCACCTGCTTTCTCTTCTTTTGCTTAGTTTCTAGGAATAAGGTGGCCCTTTTCTCCTTGCTAAGACCAAATGCTTTACTTGAATCCTTGACGTCATCTCTTTCCCTTTCCTCCTGAATGCCATCATTTTCTCTAGCTCTCCCCCTTCTTCTCCCTCCCTTTTCTTCCTTCAGTCTCTTCCTTTCCTTCTTCTCTCTCTGTCTCTCTCTCTCCCCCAATCTCTCCCTTTTTGCTACCCACAAACATACTCAGATCTCCTCCATTGATAACAGCCTTCACTTGATCTTTCTATTCCCTCAGGCTATTATCTTATACTTCTCCCCATGAACACCAAAATTCTAAAAAGACATATTCACATTCACTACCTCCACTTCTCACCATCCTTGCTTTTCAGCCCTTCACAATGTGGCTCTTTACACTATCCCTTTCCTGAAACTGTTTTTTTCCAAAACTTACCAATAGTCATCATTGCTAAGTCTGAGGACCTTTCCTAGCCTTACCTTCCTTGACCTCTGAAGCTTTTAGCATCTTTCACTATCCTCTCCTAGATGTGTTTCATCCCTTTGACTTCTCTCCTGGTTCTCCTTCTACCTGTTTGGTGAACCTCAGTTTCCCTTGTCCTCCACAAGAATGTAAATTTGAGAACAGTGACGCTTCTGTGTTTGTCTTTGGATGCCCACTGCTAAGTCCAATGCTTTGCACATGATAAGGATAGGCACTGTACCTGTGATTTCACTGGTAAAGAGAAGTTCTGAATGAGGAAACCTCCCCTATTGATGGAGGTCAGCATCTTCTATGCATTTTAAGAGAGTAGCTAGAGGACTGAGAAATAGTGACTTGTGTATAGTCCTGCAGCTAGCACGTGTCAGAGGACTTGAACTCAGGTCTTCCTGGATCCAAGGCTAGTTTTGTATCCGTTACTCCATGATGCCTTTCACATTATGCTCGCTTAAATGTTGAACACTGTATATAACATGAGAACTGCAAGGGGACTTAGAACATAGAATGTCAAAGAGAACTTAGAATAATAGAATATGGAATATCAGAGCTGGAAGAAACATTAAAGATGATCTAATCCAACTCTCTTCTGGTCTACTCCCCACCAACTTTCCCACAGGCACAAAGCTGTTTTTCCCAGGGACACACATCCGTGCTAAAAAGGGATTTGAAGGCTATATGTAATTGGCCAGTAGATGGCAGAGTTAGCTCAGGATAAAGAAAACAGAAGTTTGGCTGAGAATGAAGGCCGTTCGGCTAGATTGGCTTGGCCAGATGCAGAGCCAGTCTGGTCCTGGGAAAGAATCTTAGAATGTTAGAGCTGTAAGCAGCAGATGTGACCTTGGGCACACTATTAGCTCCTGATCTGTAAAATGAAGCAGTTGTACTAAATTATTTCTAAGGTTCCATCTGAATTTATAACTGTATTTCCTGCGTGATGTGTAAAAGTCTTCATTTGCCCTAGTGACGAGGGCTCTTAGAAGGCATGAGCATCTTGCTTTAACTAGGGTTGCCCCATTGCTACCACAATGAGGAGGACTGATTGATTGATTGATTGAGGGCTGTGGTCAAAATTGGAATGTCAGAGGAAGAAGAAATCAGGGGATTAGAGTAGTCAGGAATGATTTTTGCACAGAAGAAACAACCATGAACAAAAAAGGCAAGGAAGCAAATCAAGTCAACAAGCATTTATTAAACACCTACTCTGTGCTAGGCACTTTGTTATAAGGGGGCTGGAGAAACAAAGAAAAGCAAAATTAGCCTTTGCCCTCAAGAAAGTTACAATCTAATGGAGAAAGACACCATGCAAATAATATGTACAAACAAGGTCAATATGTGATAAGTTTGAGATAATCTCAAAGGGAAGGCACTAACGCTAAGGAGAACTGCTTTTTGCAGTTTTGACCTGAAGGAAGCCAGGAGGCAGGGAGGAGAACTTCAGACATGGGGGCAGCTAGCAAAAATGCACAAAGTCAGTAGATGAAGTGTCTCGGAACAGCAAAGGAATGGTAAGAGTACATGGAGGAAAGTGAGGTGTAAGAAGACTAGAAAGGAGGCACAGGGCTACCTTTCAGATTTTGAAGAATTTTAAAGGACAGCGGAGTTTACGTTGGATCTTGGAGGTAACAGGGAGCCACTGGCATTTACTGAATAGAGGAGTAACACAATCAGAACTGTACTTTAGGAAGATCATGATGAGTCAGAAGGATGGACTGGAGGAGAGAGAGAGAGAGAGAGAGAGACGCTTGGGGCAGGGAGGCCAACCAGAAGGCTAGTTCAATATTCCACGGGTGAGGTGATTAGGGCCAGCATCAGAGAGAGAGGAGATATACAAAAGAAATGTTAGGAAGGTAGAATTCAGAGAATTGGGCAAAAGATTGGATATGGTGAGATGAGAGTGAGGAGTTGAGGAGTGAGGAGAGAGCACCTGCCGTTGTGAGTGTGGGTAACCGGGCTGATAGTAGTGCCCTCAACAGTTAAAAGGAAAATTGGAATATCCAAAGTTAGGGCTTCATAAGTAGATCTGAGAACACCAGCATAAAGATAATTCAGTACATGGGAAATGATGAGATCACTAAGTGAAATAGTATAAAGGGAGAAGAGAAGTAGGCCCAGGACAGAACCTTGTGGTACGCCCACAGATTACCTAGGTGGGATCCAGATGAAGAATCAGCAAAGAAGTCTAAGAAGGAATGGTCAGACAGGTAGAAGGAGAACCAGGAGAAATTAGTGTCACAAAAACCTAGACAGAAGAAAATACCCATGAAAAGAAGATGATTAACAGTGTGGAAGAATGAGTATTGAGAAAAGGCTATTTATTTGATTTGGTGATTGAGATCACTGGTAACTTTGGAGAGGGCCATTTCAGTTGAATGATGAAGCTAAAAGTCAAACTGAAGAGAGTTAAGAGAGTGAGAAAAAAAGCAATTGGAAGCGAATGATTGTAAACAGACTTCTCAAAAAGTGTGGCAAAAAAGAAAGAGACAGAGAGAGGGGGAGGAAGACATGTGAAAATGTTAAATTTGAATGTATATGTACAGCATATATCAGATTGCATGCTATTTTGGGGAGGGGGGAGGAAAGGGAGTAGGAGAAAAGTTAAAACTCAAAATCTTATGGAAGTGAATGTTGAAAACTAAAAATAAATTAATTTTAAAAAAAGAAAGGAAGGAAAGAAGAAAGAAAAGAAGGAAGGAAGAAGATATAGACAGGGATAGAAGATCAAGTGAAAGTGCTTTGAGGATAGAGGAAACATGGGACTGTTTTGTAGGCAGCAAGGAAGCAGATGTTAGGGATATAACAGTGAAACCAGCAAGATGGTTTTTAAGGTGAGCCTTGAAGAATTCCAGTAGCATTGGATGAGAACAAGAGGTTGGTCTCAGGGATGGGGACAGCAGAGAAGATATCAGTCTGACTGAATTATTGAGGTATGTAATAAGGTTTGAAAAGGTCAGTGAAGTTAGAAGAGTATTTTTTTTTTTTAATAATAAGAAAGTACTCAGACATCAGCTAATCTAACTCACCTCATTCTATAGAGGGGAAAACTGGGATCCAGAGAGGTAGTAAGCAGCCCAGCTTATGTACTGGGGAGCTACTGAAGGTGTCTGAGCAATCCAATTAAATAGTTTTTGTGGCTGTACAGTGTTTATAAGAGCTGCTTATTAGGAAGGTTGGGCAGGACTCCTGGAATGTCTTCTTTATCTTAGATGTTTTGTTAACATAATAAAAGAAGTCTTGCTGGGAAGGGGATGGAGGAGGGACTTGAAAATGAATGTGACTTAGAAACAAGATAGAAAAAAAATCCAAAAACCAGGGAGTCAAAAGGTCAAGCAGGATTTGGTGGTGCGGGCGAGTAGGAAGTCAAGGACTGCATTTAACCCAAGAGAATCATAGACCGTGGAACCTCATCACAGAAGAGGGCTTTAGAGACCACACACTAGTCTAACACCACCTCCCCTTTATTTTACATTTTACAGAGGGGAAACTGAGGCCCAGAAAAGGAAAGTAACTTATTCAAGGTCACGAAGGCAGTCAGTGGGGTGCTCTGGCTAGAACTCAGCCCCTTACTCCAGTCCAGCACACTTCTCCCTACACCACCACCCCTTCCAGCCTGCGAGCCCATCACCATAATCAAATTATCGATTTCTATCTTTGGGAAGGACCTCTCTGGGACGCGACCTCGGCTTTCAACCTCTCATCTAGCCATTCACCAGAAAAGCGGGACCTAACCAGGCAACTTGCCAGATCTGCAGAGGGCGTGATATCCTGCGGCCACCCTCCCCCCTCCCTATCGTCCAAACTTCCCTCCCTGGCCGACGCACCTCTCCTCTTTTACGGGTTGCATCCACCTATTCGGAAGCAGCTCCCTGAGGGCAAGTCCTCGCTTTTGTAATGATATTCCCAGCACCGAGCAAGACGCCTGGGACACATACATAGTTGGTGCATAATACATGCTTTTTCATTCATTCATTAGAGGATTTGAACCCGAAAAACCACAACTTCCGGCAGCCACAGCGCAAAGGAGCGACCACGAGCAGGAATGGCTCCAGTGGGCAGAAGAAGGGGAGGGAGAACTTTAAGGCGGGTCTAAGCTGGCGCACTGGGGAGGACGCCTTTGCCCCTTTACCCGGTGCCTGCGGTCCTCCCGGCAGAATGTAAGCTCCTTGCGGGCAGGGACTATTTGTTTTTATTTTTATATATTTTTTGGTATTTGTACCCTCAGGATTCAGCATATACCCTTGCACACATTAGGCACTTAATAAAAGTAAAATTGAAACTGAATAGAATTCAAGCTGAGATGGGCGGGTCCTTCACCCAATAGGAGCGAGCGACCTTGGGGGCCAATCTCAGAGCGCGTTTAGCGCGTGGGGAGAGGAAGGGGAGAAAGAGAAGGCGGCCTCACAACGGTCAGCGTCCAATGGGCACGGACGGGGGGCGGGCTCTCGGGCCCGAGTGGGAGGAGACCAGGAGCCGTAGCCCTAAGTGCTGCTGGGCTGGCGGCGGTGGCGGACGCGGTGTTGTCGGTTCCGTGTCTCGGTGACTGGACGTCCCCGCGTTAGCGCGGCGGGCCGTGTGAGGGGAGGTGAGCTGAGCTCAGCCGAGCGGAAGGGCGGTGGGGAGGGGAAGAAAAGGCGGGCAAGGATCGCCGCCCGGCCGGGTCGAGGACGCGCAGGTCTGAGGGGGCCGCGGCAGGCGCCGGGCCTGGCCTCGGGCTGGATCGCCCAGGTGCTGGGCCCCACGGCCCGGCTTCCTCTCGGAGGCGCTCCTGCCCCACCCCCCTCCGCGCCCGGGGCCGGGTCTCGGAACTGGCATGTGCGGACCCTGGAGACCACGTAGGCCACCCCCTTGGGAGCTGGGAACCGAGCCGCAGAGAGGACCGGGCCGGGCCTCCTGCCCCGGGCCTTGGCGAGCCCGGCGCGGTGCTTGACTCGGTCCTTCGGGGACCCCCCTCCTCCGTTCCTACCCCCCTCCACTTCCTCCCCAACCGCCGCCCGGCGCGGCGCTCCGGCCCCAAAGGGCTTCTCTGGCCTGCCCATGCAGACGAGGATGAGAGTGCGTGAGGTCCGCCGAGCCAGGCCGGGCCGAGCGAGGGGGGGAGGGGAGCTTCACAATCTTGCGGGGGGAGGGGGGACCTGGGAAAGACACCCCCCCCCCCCCAGGGACTTTGCTGAAGTGTCCCGAGGCAGCCAAGCCTTTTTCTCACGGAGAGCTTTGTGAGTTAAATCAAGTACGGAACGTCGGCAAATTCGCCCCATTTTACAGAGCAGGAAACTGAGAGCCAGAGAGATGAAGCACTTTTCAGGGTTAAAGCTGGCGCTCTGTCCGCCCAGGTCCTGGTCTGTCTCTTCCCTTTAGGGCAGTGAAGGGGTATGGCCACGGCATCTGGTGTCACACCCGGGACTAGAAGATCTTTCTTTTTTTCCTCTTTTTTGGCTAGGCAATGGGGTTAAGTGACTTGACCAAGGTCACACAGCTAGTAAGTGTTAGGTATCTGAGGCCGTATTTGAACTCGAGTCCTCCTGAATCCGGGGCCAGTGCTCTATACACTGCGCCACCTAGCTGCCCCTTAGAAGATCTCTTTCTCTCCGTAGTATCCTATTTGTTTGTCCTACCCTTGCCCTCTTTCTACTGTGCCACACTTCCTCGCAAGAGACAGAACCCCCCGATGGAACCCAGGACCCCTGACTCACCGTGCTTAGTCCTTCCCCTCTATCCATGTCTAGGCACATAGCTGTGTGGATATTTGAGAGTGTTTTGAGACATATTTCCAAAAATGTTTACCTTATTTGGGCTGAGAAGACTCTTGAAAAGAAATGAGTGAATCTATATCTAGATAGACATATCTACATAATTATTTAGCTATATGTATCTATAGATATATCCATAGTGAACATATTGATAAGTAAGATATGTAGATATCTATATGTAGATACTGAATGTATATGTAATCTGTCTTTGTTAAATATAAATAGATCTATATTGAACGTAGGTATATCTGTCTTGACTAAATCTGTATTGAATTTATGGCCTGTGGGTTTTTTGGACATCCACCTGAGTAAATTTATGTAAATATCAAGATGTTTATCTCTTGCTTGTTTTAGAAGAGATGCAGGCCTCCTGTGAATTGCTAGGTTGTGTGTCTTTCTTGGATTGAGTTTATCCAGAGATGGGGTGTCACTGATCTCTGGAGTTGCTGTCTCCGGGGTTGACCCCTACCCCCCACAAGAAGTGACCTAAAATGTGAATTTGAATGAGAAGGGGTTGGGGGAGTGGAGAGGAGACACTGAAGAAAAATGTGATTGCTGTGCTAGTACTTTAACCAGGACGGCAGCCTTTTTGTTTTTCAAAAGCTATTGACCCAGCAAAAAATACTTTTTTGGAAGGGAAAAGTGATTTAATTTAGGACAGGTTCTTAATCTTTTTTGTCATGGTCCCCTTTGGCAATCAAGTGAAATCAGTTGGACTCTTTCTCATAATGTTTTTTAAATAATTGAAGGAAATGCTAAATTTCAGTTAATTAAAGTAGACATAGAATTTTTCCCATCCAAGGCTATGCACTTCCGGAAATCTGTCCATGAACTCTTCGGTGGGAAGGGGTGTGTGTGTGTTAAGGTAGTTTTTTTTTAAGTCAGAAGGTAGGTAGAGGACAGAAAAATGAATAGAGAGAGGAAAACCTTGTCACCTGGTGGTGCTTCATTAGCTAAATTATCTTACGTGTTCATAAACCCCAAGTTAAAGTTGTAGTTGGTCAGTAGTGTCAGACTTGTTGGCCAAGATATTGCAGTGATTTGCCATCTCCTTCTTTGGTGGATTCAGGCAGCCAGGTTAAGTGACTTGCCCAGGGTTACATTGCTAGTAAGTGTCTTGAGGCTGATTTTAAACTTAGTTCTTTGTGACTCCAGGCCCAGGCTCTAAGCACTGAGCCACCAAAGCTGCATCTTAAGTTAAAGATAGAAGAAAGGAGAGAAATTTATCAGGTTCTTTTTTTGGTGGGGAGAGGGGTGTGTTAAATATTTGTTTTAATATTTTAAATATTAAAACTGTGCTTTTAAATATTTGTTTTTCATTCATTTAACTCAGGTTCTTAAATTGGGATCTAGGGATAGATTTCAGAGGATCTGTTGACCTTGAAGGGGAATAAAATTACATCTTTATTTCAATATAATTGGTATCCTTTGAAATACTAAGTATTTTATTGTGTGTGTTTAAAAAAATTATTCTGAAAAGGGATTCGTTGACTTCCGAAGACTGATAAAAGGGGTCCGTGACTCAAAAAAGAATAAGAGACCTTATCTAATGAGTATTTTCATTTACAGGTAAGGAAATTGTAGGATCAAAAGTTTGAGATGATGAGTGGGCATAGGGAAGGTGAGGAGGTCTGACATTGGATAGGACCTGGAATTCCAGTCAGGCAGAGAAATGTGAACTTTAGTGGGAAAGCCATTGCATTTTTTATTTTTAGATAGTGGGCTAATAAGATGATGAAATTGGACTTAGAACAATCTGGTAGGCACGAATAAGATAAAACTTGGAGGTGGGGCAGCTAGGTGGCACAGCAGATAGAGACTCATCTTCCTGAGTACAAATCTGGCCTCAGACATTTTACTAGCAGTGTGACCCTGGACAAGTCACTTAACTCTTTTTGCCTCAGTTTCCTCATCTGTAAAATGAGCTGGAGAAGGAAATGGCAGACCACTCCAATTTCTTTGTCAAGAAAACCCCAGATGGGGTCATGGAGAGTTGGACACGACTGAAACGATTGAACAACAAACAACAAAAAGATGGGGAGTGATAACTGAAGTGTGTTACTAACAGCAGAGTGGGCTGGGTATGCCTGCACCATATATGTGTACGCATAAGAGTTGAATGGATGGATATAGGGTGTCAAGTTAGTAACAGGAACTATGTGTCAGGCATTGTGCTAAGCTCAGGGAATACGAATTTACAAGCAGAAAGACAGTATCTGCCTTCAGGGAGCTTGTATTCTAACTGAGGAAGACAACACAGAAGAGAAAGCTGAAAAGACGTGAAGGGAGATGTAGTGACCAGCGTGGAGGCATTGTGGAGAGAGCCATGGAGAGAGAAGCAGCAGCAGTATGGCTTGGAGAGGAATGAAGACATGACAGGACAGGCTCCTTAACATGGAAGTTCTGGAGGAACCAGCCAATCAGAGGGAGAGTCGGAGATTCCAGGAGTGAAGTGAGTTTTTAGAGTGAAGAGTTTTCTGGGCCTATATAGAGTGCACAGAAATGAAACCTGGAGAGGGACGAAGACCATTTTGTGGAGCATAAAGTATTATGAAATTATATAGCTGGAAAAAGAACCTTAGGGATATTTTCTTTTGTATCCCAATGCCTAGCATATGGCTTGATTCATAATAGGGCCTTGAGAAATGGTTGTGAATTGATTTAGTACAGCCTTCTTATTTTACAGAACTACTGAACTGAATTCCAGATTGCTTAAGTGCTTTACCCCAAAATATGTAGTATTTCTGATTGTGTTCTTTCTACCTTAGTCTTCCTCGTATCAAACATAACTGCAGCTTCGTGCCTGGGTGACTGAAAACATGGTAGTGCCACTAGGGGAAGTGGAGAGAGATGGGAGTACAGGGCAGACTTGAAGCAGAGTGTGAATTTGTTCTTTTACGTGTTGAATTGGAGGTTATCGTGAGACATTCAGGGGATGGTGTCTTGTTGGTAGTTGGAGATGAAGGACTGAATGTCCTAACAACAACAAAAAAGGCTAGGCCTGGAAATAGAGTCATTCATTGAAACTTTGAGAGAAAATCAGTTCACCCAAATAAAGAGGCATAGTAAGAACAAAGGACTAAGGTAAGAAGAAAGCCTTGGGAATAACTCAAGGAATAGGAAAGTCAGTAGAGGAAACAAGGGGAGCAGTCAATTAACTGAAAATTAAAAGGCAATGTGATAGATAAACCACTGCTTCCCAAAGTGTCGTCGCCTGGGGGTCCTTGAGACCCTTTTAGGAAGTTTACAATGTCAAGACGTTTTACTTTCTAATATGGTAAATATTGATAGATATTTCACCACATTTTTACAAAAATGCTCTTTAGAAAGTCCTCAGTAACTTTTAAGAATGTAAAGGGATCCTGTAATCCAAAAGTTTTAAAACAGCTGATATGTACAATAGAAGTTCCTGCTGATTTGGGAAAGAATAGTGCCTGACTTGGGTAATGACAAACACCCATTGAGAGCCACCTTCCAGCAATGCAGTAGTGCTGATTTGCCCTAGTTTTCGAAGAGGAAACTCTAGAGAATTAAAAAGGTTTTTACTGAATGTGGGTGAAATGAAGAGAGGGAATGGTATTTCAGATTAATTCCATTTTTATTTGAATGTGTGATCTTTCAGACTTTTATAATTTTTTGATTATGGGTATCACAACTCTTAATTCTGGCACATTATAGAGGAGGGATCTGAGAGGCTTCTTGGAGTAGTTTAAAATGGAGATCTGTGTTTACTGACATTTGGGTCATCCTAGACCTGGAGTCTGGAAGACCTGAGTTCAAATCTTGCTCCAGGAACTTAACTAACTATGACCTTGGCCAAGTCACTTTGCCTCAA